CTAATACATGATCCACTTTTTAAAAAAGTGCTATATGATGAGAAATACTTCCATACTTTAGCAAAAATGTCAAAAGTCTTTTAGCTCTTTAGGCTGATTGGAACTCAGGTCTTTCTGACTCCAGGCCCAGCCCTCCATCCACTGAGCCACCTAGCTGCTAGGGATAATGTAGGTACTTAATACTTATTGACTGACTAAAAAACAAAACCAAAAAAAAAAAAACACCACTATCTGACTTTAAGGACTTTAGTGGGAGTGGAAGGGGGACGGGCAGGCTGAATGAGGACAAGGATGTACATAGAAGTCAGTATGATGCAAGGTAAGACTCAGACTAGATTATGCACGTAAAGTGCTTTGTAAATCCAAAGCCCTATATAAATGTCAGCTGTTATTAAACTGTTTTAGTAGGAAGGAGAGAGCCTAGTTATCCTAAGAGATTGGAAGAGAAAGGGCCCCTTTCTGCTCTCCATTCCAGGATGCTGTGGCCAGCTGCTCAAAAATCTGCCTGAGTTCAAGGTCTCTGGGAATCATAATGCTAGAGCTGGAAGAAACCTAAGAATGGGGGTATTGGGAGGCTCAAATGAAACTATAAATGTAAAGCACTTTGCAAACCTTAAAGCGCTATATAGATGCCAGTTATTATTATTATTATTGTTGTTGTTGTTATTAACCTACAGTCACCAGGCCTCCAGTCTGGTGATAACTTCATTCCCTGAGCTTTCTATTGCACTCCTATTGACCTCAAACAATGTTTATAGAGCATTACAGCGGTGTGCTGGTAGATGTTTAACAATCAGATTCTCTGGGAGGGGAAATGTATGCACACACACTTTTATGTTTAATCTGTGTTATTGATGCTTTGTTTTTTTGTTTTTTTCTTTTAAAAGTTTTTTGTTTATTAATTAATTTATTTTTAGTCTTCAACATTCACTGTTATAAGATTTTGAGTTCTAAATTTTCCTCCCTCCCTCTACTCCCCCCTCCCCAAGATGGCATGCAATCTGATATAGGCTATACATGTATGATCATATTAAACCTATTTCCATATTAGTCAAGTTGTGAAAGAAGAATCAGAACAAAAGAGGAAAAGCATGAGAAAGAAAAAACAAACAACAATAAAAGAAAGAGAAAATAGTATGCTTCGATCTGCACTCAGACTCCATAGTTCTTTCTCTGGATGTGGATATCTTCTATCATGAGTCTTTTGGAATTGTCTCAGATCATTGCATTGGTCAGAAGAGCTAAGTTTAACAAAGTCAGTCATTGCACAATGTCGCTGTTACTGTGTACAATTTTCTCCTGTTTTTGTTCACTTCACTCAGCATCAGTTCACGCAACTCTTTCCAGGTTTTTCTGAAGTCCACCTGCTCACCATTTCTTATAGCACAATAGTTTTCCATTACATTCATATACCACAACTTGTTTAGCCATTCCCCAATTGATGGGCATCTCCTCAATTTCAAATTCTTGGCCTCCACAAAAAGAGCTGCTATAAATATTTATGTACATGTAGGTCCTTTTCCCTTTTTTATGATCTCTTTGGGACACAGACCTAGTAGTGGTATTGCTACATGAAAGGGTATGCAAAGTTTTATAGCCCTTTGAACATAGTTCCAAATTATTCTCTAGGATGGTTGGATCAGTTCACAACTCCACCAACAACGCATTAGTGTTCCAATTTTCCCACATCTTCTCTAACGTTTTATCATTGTTCTGTTTTGTTATGTTAGTCAATCTGGTAGGTGTGATGTGGTACCTCAGAGTTGTTTTAATTTGCATTTCTCTGATCAATAGTGATTTAGGGCATTTTTTCATGACTATAGATAGCGTTAATTTCTTCATCTGAAAACTGCCTGTTCATATCCTTTGACCATTTCTATTGATGATTTCTTAAGTCTAGACATCAACAGAATATTAAATCAAGACCTGATTTGTTTTAATTGCCAGTTTCTGAAGTTTAAATGCTCACACTGAAAATTTAAAAATTGGATCTCACAAGCTGGTTAGAACTGACTCAAATACAGTCCTGCCTGAGATCAGGGTATGGACCCCAGAATGCTTGCCCCTGGCTGGTCCAACCAACACTGAGCAGAACAAGGGAGGTGGTAAGGGATGGTAAATTTACTAAAGGAAAAATTTAGTGTCCGGCAAGGCAAGAACAGCTAGTTCCAATCACTAGTTGCCATGGTGACTGGTCATTGCTAAGGATACCTGGAATCTTGAGTGGCTGGCACTCAGGCTACCTCCTTATCAGGTCTCCAGTATGACCCCTAGGCCAGGAGGAGGGGAGAGCTTCTTTCCAGCTTTGTCCTGGACTGCCAGCTGGGAGATCTAGATCACCAGGGGCTTCAAAATATCAGCAGATACCCACACATGCACACATATGTTGTACCTACAGGCATATATATTGTATACACTGAGAGAAAGAGAACAAAACAAAGACGGACATAAAGATGCAGAGACAGAAAAATATAGATGCTAACTGCAGAATAGTATCCATAAGAAGACACATAAAGCAAACAGCTGTTGCAATGAAACAGGCATCAGGGAAGGGAATAACAAACATCATCCCAGGCACTCTGGTGACCTCACTGATCTCCTCCTAGCCAGGTGAGAAGAAACTGAGGCCCAACAAGGTTAAGTTGTCCCCTAGGGTCACACAGGTGCTAAGCATCAGAAGCAGCATTGGAGCTCATGTCCTCTGACTCCATAGCAGCCAAAGTTCTTTCCAGAATACAATTCTGCCTCCCACAGCAGTTTTTGTCACCAAACCATGGTTTCCCCAGGGGACATCAGAATTTGGCTTTTAAATCTCCACAAAGAAAGGGTAAAGGACCTTAAGCTTGCATTGAGCAATCAGGCTAATAACATAACACATATAGGACAGCCTTTATTTTTAACCTGGTGAAAAATGCAAAGTACAAAGGATTTGTGCTTGAACACAGTGCCTGGCTCATACACAGCAGGTACTTAATAAATGCTTGCTTGATTGGCTGGGGCCATACAGAGTCAAGACAACTCTTCTTCCCTCTCCAATGGTCTTGTCTATCTCCCCAGGGTCTATCGTTTGGTTGAGGTCTCCCATTCACCAAGGAGAAAGTCCCTGGGATCAACAGAATCCACCCCTCTCCCTCTGCTGGGGTTCATCTTCTCAAGGACTTAGATCTCCAGATTGAAGGCACTCACCTCCACCTCCTCCCAAATCATCCTTGCATTCTCTATTTTACAGGACTATGGGGGGTAAAGCTCTTTGCAAACCAAAAGTCTGGAGAGATGAGAGCTATTGCCAGTCTTATGACTCTCCTTAGGGCTCTATGTTGGCATGATGATGCTAGGGAGTGGCTCATTGACAGAAGTGGTTTTAGACAAGCTTTCACCTGGGAACCTGGGCCACCTTCTTCTGGGTGAGGAATGGTCAGAAGGCTGCTCCTCCTTACCATAAGCTGTCCTAACAACCAGAGCCATGCATTCCAATCCAGTGCAAGGCAATTAATCCACAAGCATTTATGAAGCACCTAGTATTAGGTTCCAGGAACTCTTCTGGGCACTGGAGACAGGAGCAATGAGGGAAACAACCCTTACTCACAAGATCCAATAAATCCTTTCTGATCTCCAGCCCTGACAAGCCACCTCAGAAATACACAGGCTGCTGGCATGAAGCAGGAGCTTGGATGGAAAGTGGGGATGGCTAAGGGCAGCTCATCCCCACGGGGTAAAGAAACACAAGGCAGGGCCCACAGCCTCCTCCTGCCCTGGAAGATTCCCCCCTACTTCCTGGCCTGGTGTGGTCATTCCTGCAGCGTGGCTGGGGGCAGAGGGAGCTGCTGAACTACTCATTTCTTGAGAAACCAAGTGCTTTGGACCCCTATTGGAGGGGTCCTGACATAGGAAACAGGGAAGCTTGTCCACAGGGCTGACCTTTGATAGGGGCAGGATAGGCCTCTGTCTATGCAGTGTGATTTCAGGGGTACAGACAGTGCCCTCCCCTTCTCCCATCCCCAAATCTCTGACACTGACCACTAAATCCCACTCACTCACTGTGATGGAGTGGAAAAGCCTCTGGTTTTGGATGTGGAGTCAGCATGTATGGCCCCCTGCCCCAATTCTTTCCTTGGTTTCCCTTTCCTCCTTTCTCATGTTGAATCAGAACCTCCCCCTTTTGCAGTGTAGAAGGGGGGCACAGTCTCTGCAACCTCAGGAGTCCCTAGGGTGGTCTCTGTCCCAGGAAGAAGGGGGCATGCTTTCAGTCCCCCTCCTCATTTCTTCAGAGTATACTAGGTAGAATCAATGTCTGTTGCTTGTCTTGGGGGGAGGTGTGCTGGCAAAGTCTCTGGAGCCATGTGGACCCCAAACAGAAGTTCGTCTGCCAGTCTGTGGGTCCCTGGTGGCAAAGAGGAGATTGGTGGGGAAGGGTACTAAATGAGTGCTGTAAGGATTACCATTCTCTTCCAGTGTTAATTCAACCATATTTTACCTTGTCAAGATTCTCCCTTCTTTGTCCTATGGTCTAGGGCAGGGGTGGGGAATCTGTGGCATCAAGGCCACATGTGACCCTCTAGGTCCTCAAGTATGGCCCTTTGACTGAGTCCAAGTTTTGTAGAACAAATCCTTTTATTAAATGGATTTGTTTTGTGAAGTTTGGATTCAGTCAAAGGGCTGGACTTGGGGGCCTAGAGGGCCACATATGGCCTCAAGGCTGCAGGTTCCCCACCCCTGACTCTAGGGTATAATTGTTCTACAGGTAGGGCACAATTCCTCTTTTCTGGAAGTTTTTGAAGTGCTTGGGGTCTGGAGAAGGCATTTAATCTGCCATCTTGTTGGCCCCACAACCCAGAAGTCCTTCTGTTCCTCGGGGATAAGCAATATTCCAATAATGACTCCCATCCCACCAAGTCAGTCAGCTAGTCAGTCAACAAGCACTTAATTAATCATTTACTATGTGCCAGGCGCTGTGCTAAGTGAATGGGATAAAAAGAAAGGCAAACGCAGCTTTGAAAGGAACCGTGTTTTATTTGTTATATGCTTCTTTTTTTAATGTAAACTGTGTATAGTTGATATTCCCCATTTCATCTGTTAAAAAAAAAGAAAAAAAAGTCAAAAGAGTGAATTCAAAGAAATGTTTGTAGCCTTTATATACTCTAGGGGTCCTTGTCCCAATTCTTCCTCACCCAAGAAGTCTCATACTCCAAGGACAGCTAGCTCCACCTCCTGCTCACCTGGGCTATTGGAGTGTCTTTTAATGATTCTAATGCTATCAATTTGACCCCCAATTTCAGTATATTCCCCCCAGTATGTTTGCCAGTGCTAGTTAGTATCTCTCTTATATCACTAGCACCTCAATTATCAATTTAACCAGTTAACACCAATTAGCTTTTGCAAAAGAATATTAATTGGGGGGCAACTAGGTGGCACAGTGGATAGAGCACGGGCCCTGGATTCCGGAGGACCTGAGTTCAAATCCAGCCTCAGACACATAACCCTTACTAGCTGTGTGACCCTGGGCAAGTCACATAACCCTGATTGTCTCACAAAAAAAAAAAAATTAACTGAGGAGATATAGCAAGGGTAGGAATATTTTTTTTAAACTTTCTAAACTGTAGGACACATTTTCCTCTTCCAACTGTCAGCAAACTGGGGGCATGGATTCTAGTTCCTTGAGCCCTGGAACCTTTCTAGACCTTTTGAAGCTCACAGAATCATAGCCATTTTCTACCATTCCCTCACCTAAGAGTAGGAAAGAAACAAATATAATGGAACAAAGAGGAGAAGCACCTCTCTTGAGGCACCATGTATCCATGGCCAAATCTGAGCCCAGGTGAGAAGAGCAAAGGCATAGCATTGATGCTTACAACTTGGTTTTGCTTGGCTATTCACATTTGCTAGAAGGCTAAGATGGGGGGGGGTTGCCTTCATTTCTCTTAGTTGATTAATGAAGAGTGTATTAGCAGAAGAGGGAGATATAGCAAGAGATGCCCCCAAAACAACAAGGCCACTGGGACATATTTTTTTTAATACACAGAGGAGAACAGAAGGAAACATAGATAAGAAGGGCAATTTTAAAATGATGTGTAAATTTTATTATATACTTTTTAAAAAAGCAAGTAGTGGAAATTTTTTTAAAAGCCAGTGGTGGGAAATGGAGGCACAGAGCTTCACATAGAATCCTCTTTTTATATTGTGTTTTGTGTATGGATTTTTTTTTTGTATTTAAGTTCTGAATAAAAAACAAAATTAAAATCAAAACAAAAAGAATATAGTATATCAGAACTAAAAGGGACCTTAGAAAACAGAATTCAGAGCTGAAAAGGGCCATAGAACTATATTGTACATAGAGAACTCCTATGCACACCTGGCCCATATTCTATGGCCATCCATGCTTAGAACACAGAACATCTGTGAACCGAGGACACAATGTCAGAAATCTTAGAATACGGAATGTCGGTACTGGGAAAGAACTTGGAAATCAGGGAGGCCCAAACCTATTTACAGATTGTATAGAGTAGGAAATTAAGACTTAGGGAAGGGATGGAATTTGCCCAAGGCCACACAGGTAGCCATTGTTTGAAGCAAGATTTGAACCCTCTGACCCTTATCAGGAGTGGGGAACCTGTGGCTGGAGCCCACATGTAGGTCGTCAAGTGCAGCCCTTTGATTGAATCAAAGTTTCACAGAACAAATCCCCTTAATAAAAGAATTTGTTGGGCAGCTATGCAGTGCAGTGAATAAAGCACCGGCCTTGGAGTCAGGAGGACCTGAGCTCAAATCCAGCCTTAGACACTTGACACTTACTGTGTGACCCTGGGCAAGTCACTTAACCCCAACTGCCTCACCAAAAAGAAAAAAAAAAGAATCTGTTCTACAAAACTTGGACTCAATCAAAAGGCTGCACCCAAAGACCTAGAAGGCCACAGGTGGCCTCGAGGCTTCAGATTCCCCACCTCTGCTTTAGATCATGCTATGCTACCTCCTGTGTATAAGGCAAAGGATGGCAGCAAGAACAGGGAGCAGGGAATAATGGTGCTAATAAAACAGCTCACATCTCTAGCACCAGAGAGATTATAAATGTTTTTTTTTTTTTGGCTAGGCAATGGGGTTAAGTGACTAGCCCATAGTCACACAGCTAGTAAGTGTTATGTGTCTGAGGCTGGATTTGAACTCAGGTCCTCCTGAATCCAGGGCCAGTGCTCTATCCACTACACCACCTAGCTGCCCCAATTATAAATGTTAAAAAGTGAAAATAAGGGGATTGGAAAAAATCTCTTATTCTTTAGGCTAACTCAAAAAAGCAGGAGTAGCAATCATGATCTTAGAGTGATAAAGCAACGATAAAAACAGACAAGATAAAAAGATAAACAGGGAAACTACGTTGTGCTTAATGACATCATAGATAATGAATCAATATTAATATTTAATACATATTCACCAAATGGCATAGTATCTAAATGCTTAAATTAAAATGTCATAAAATTACAGGGAGAAATAGATGATAAGATGATAATAGTCCGGGGCTTCAAAGGCCCGTTTCAGACTCATGTAAGTGTAATAAAAAGATAAACAAAAATCAAGTTAAGGACCAGAAAAGTAGTTTAGAAAAGATAAATATGATCAATCTCTGGTGATTACTTGAGGGGAAGAGTAAGTATTATATCTATTTCTGAGCTATCCATAGCCTTTTACAAAAACTGACCACGTATTAAGCATAAAGACCTTACAAATGCAGAAAAGCAGAAATATTAAATTATTTACTGAACACAACACAATAAAATTATATTCAATAAAAGGTTCTTGAAGACAGGATTAAAAATCAAAAAGAGACTAAATAATTTAATCCTAAGAAAACTGCCCAGATCTCTTGGAACCAGAGGGCAAGTGGAAATTGAAAGAATCCACCAGTCACCTCCTGAAAGAAATCCCACAATGAAAACTCCCAGGAACAATACTGCCAAAATCCAGAGCTTCCAGATCAAAGGAAAAATCCTGCCACCAGCCAGAAAGAAAGAATTCAAGTTCCAAAGAGCCACAATCAGGATCACACATCATTTAGCAGTTGCCACTATAAAGAAGTTGGGAGCTTGGAGTAAAATATTCCAGAAGGAAAAGGATATGGGCTTACAGCCAAGAATAACTTACCCAGCAAAACAGAGTTGAATTCTATAGGGGAAAAAGTGACTTATTAATAAACTACAAGACTTCCAAAAACTCCTGATTGAAAAACCAGAGGTGTGTCGAAACTTTGAAATTCAAACAAAGGCGTTCAGAGAAATATTTAAAAAAGATAAACATAAATGAAAGTTTTGTTTATATCCAAATATGGAGATATGATACATGTGTCTCCTCTGAAGCCTATTATCATCAGGGGTCATAGAAGGAATCCAATTAGATGAGGACTGAGAGTGCTTCTGTTATATCTTCATGATCTTAAGAGAAAAATAGAAAAGGAGGGGAAGAGGAATACACTAGTGGGGAAAAGGAAAAAGGTTAGAGAAAATTATTTCATATAATCAGGATATACAGGTAGACATCTATCTAAACAAGGTAGAGGGGGCAGCAGAAGCAGCTGACATTTCAACCTCATTCTTACCTGATCTGGTCAAATAAGGGAAGAATATACACACAATACACAATTGGTTACAAAAATATATTTTACTTGGCAGGGAAATAGGGGAGAAGAGGGAATTAGACAGAGGGCTGATTAAGGGTTGGTTAGTCCTAAGGAAAAGGAACTCTAAGGGTATAAAAATACCTATAGCTTTTTTTGAGGTGGCAAGAGGGGGTACCCATAAAATGGGGAATGGCTAAACAAGTTATGGCATATAAATATGACGGAATAAGATGTTGCCATAAGAAAATGATGAAGGGGAGGGCTTCAGAGAAACCTGAGAAGACTTATATAAACTGATGCAAAGTGAAGTGAATAGAACCAGAACAATTTATATAATGACAACATCATGGAAAGACAAACAACTTTGAAATAATTAGAGACTTTCATCAGCATAATGATGGTTGAAAGTGAATTTCTGGGAGAACATGTCTGATTCTATTTTGTCCTGTATTTGCCATTTTGCTGTGTTATGACCCCCTGCATGACCTACAAGGCTACCTGCAGCAGCTGATTTCCTTCAGTGTCTTCTTCACCTGTTTTAATTGCTACAAAGATTTAATTGCTTTAAAAAATGGAGGATTTCAGAGTCACTGTAATGTCTCCCTCCCTCATCTAGCCTGACAGGTAGTTCACTTTAATTTAGTGAAACTAGTGATATCAACCTGGACACATCCCTTATCTATCTCCTATAGTTAATTTCCCTTGACAAGAATATTTTATTTTCTTTGTATGGGCAGCTGTGTTGTAATGAACAGCCATCTTTTTTTCTTTGTTTCATGTAAGAATAGAAAGTGCTTGATGAAATGTGAATAACACATTCTCCATCAACTGTTGGTAGAATATGACACACTCTGAGTGTAATAAATCCTGTTTTCTGATTGATTCTGGCTTATTAATGTTAGCCAGTTGAATTGTTAAGAATAGTCATGCAACAATTTTGGCAACTCTAGCTGAGACTGGCTGACCCAACCTTCACAGATCTCTATCTTGAAGAACTTTCCAAGAGCACACCTGTGAGTTCACCAATTCAGGAACTTCTAGAGAAGCGAAACTGGGATAGATGAAAAAGCTGCACTCTAGCACTTTTCTCCAAACTGAGAGATCTACAGAGACAAATTACTGTTTCATGTATTTTTGTTCTGTATTATCTTACGTCTGTCTCTTGCTCCTGAATATTAGCTAACTTTGGGTGAATTCTCCAGGCCAAGACTAGGATTTTTTTTCTTGAGCCCTGTGCCCCTTCATCTTATCTCTCACAGGCAAATAAGCAAGACATTTTTTCATCTAGTTATCTGTCTGTCATTAGTAATTACTACCCTGTCTTGATCACTTTTCCTGTCTAAATTCTTGAATTCTGTTAATTCTGACACAAGCCTGAAGCAGTCAGTGTTATCCCAGCCAAAATGAGGATGTAATCTTGACATAATCTTCAAAAACTGTACTAATCAGTGACTGACCCTCAGTCACA